CTCATTATCTTTATCTTTTTAGCCCACAACATATATACATCAAATATTATTATTATTATTAAATAATAAAATCATATCATATCTTATACAATTTTAATATAAGAAAATTAAATAAATAAATTATACAAACACACACACACACGAATAATTATAATGAATCTTCCTAGTTCCTTACCATCTCTAGGGTTGGCCCACACTCACCCACATCTCCATATCCCTTATTTTCTTTCCTAAAATTAAATAAAATATTTGATAAAAAGTTAATTAAAATAGAATAATTTATTTTACAACCTTACTACATTTATCTCATATCATATCATAGTATTTTTCCCAACTCCTATATATATATACCAACTGACATCTCCTCATCTCCAACTACTTCATTTCATAATTCAAAAAACCTCAGTTTTCTCTCTCCAAAAAGTCTCATTTACAAATCGACCCACAAATATTTCACGTTTTACGCCTGAACCCCAAAACTACAAATGGACTTCAATAGTGCCGACGAGAGCCTGACCAGCGACTCCCTCTCCTACACAGCGCCGGCGGCGGCGAAGTCGCCGGAGAGACTCTTCCGCACCGCCGCCGACGCCGAGGCCGAGTCCCGCGGCAAGCTGCCTTCGTCCAGGTTCAAGGGCGTCGTCCCCCAGCCCAACGGCCGGTGGGGCGCCCAGATCTACGAGAAGCACCAGCGCGTGTGGCTCGGCACCTTCAACGAGGAGGAAGAGGCCGCACGCGCCTACGACACCGCCGCCCTCCGCTTCCGCGGCCGGGACGCCGTCACCAACTTCCGCCCGCCGGCGCCGGAGGACGCCGCCGAGGCCGCCTTCCTCGCCGCCCACTCAAAGGCCGAGATTGTCGACATGCTCCGCAAGCATACCTACGCCGACGAGCTCGAGCAGAGCCGTCGCTCCTGCGGCGGCGCCGCGGCGGAGGACGGCGGCAACGCCGCCGGGGCCGCGCCGCCTGCGGCGGCGTCGCGCGAGCAGCTGTTCGAGAAGGCGGTGACGCCGAGCGACGTGGGGAAGCTGAACCGGCTGGTGATACCCAAGCAGCACGCGGAGCGGCACTTCCCGCTGCGCGGCGCCGGCGTTGGCGGCGGCAGCGCGGCGAAGGGCTTGCTGCTGAACTTCGAGGACGGCGGCGGGAAGGTATGGCGGTTCAGGTACTCGTACTGGAACAGCAGCCAGAGCTACGTTCTGACAAAGGGGTGGAGCCGGTTCGTCAAGGAGAAGGGTCTCCGGGCCGGGGACGTCGTCGGCTTCCACCGATCAACCGGGCCCGACCGGCAGCTCTACATCGACTGGAAGGGTCGGTCCGGTGGAGGTGTCGGATTCGAGCCGGAAGCGGCGGTCGGACCGGCCCGGCCCGCGCAGGTGGTGAGGCTGTTTGGGGTGGACATATTCGAGGCGCCGGCGGACGGCGGAGGCGAGACGTGCGGCGGGAAGAGGATGAGAGAGATGGAGATTCTGGGGATGGACTGCGTGAAGAAGCCGAGGGCGGTGGTTAATGTTTTGTAACATTAGTTTTCCGAGTTTTTTTTTTTTTTTTTTTTT